AGGTCTGGGAATCTCAGCGCAGCTGCGTAGCCGCCAGCGCCCTGTCTGGGGGCCTGGGGGCCTGGGGGCCTGGGGAGGGACGAGGGCAGGCCTGGGCAAAGGGGAAGCCCGCTAGTGGGGTGGGGCAGGGCCCTGGTGTTATTGACAGATTCCAGCTTCTCCTCCAGACTCCGGGTCTCCCTAGGGGCAGCCCCAGGGCCGAGCTGGGCAGGGTGGTGCCCAGCCTGGTACTGCAGCTTCCTGCCTGGGTTGGCTCCTGGCTCCAGACAGAGGCTCAGGAAATCCTAGGAGGGCTTGGTCCTCAAGACACTCCCTTGCCCAGCCTAGGGGCAGTGGATGGGCCCGTGGCCTGCTGACAGGCAGCACTGCTCAGCCGGCCTGCTGGCTGGCATAGGGGTGGGTGTGCCTGGCCGGCTGTCCTTCCAACCTGGGCTCTTCGGAGGCAGCAGGCCATGGGAGAGGGGAGGCCCAGTCTTGCCTTCTGAACCCCATGCCAGCAGCTGGGCCAGGAGGGCCCTCAGGAGCCCCTGGGCTCTGCCCAGCCAGGCCCAGCTGGCACACTGCTTGTCTAATCTGCAGTGGTGCCACCCAGGTCCTTGCCGTCACCCCTGTTCTGAGTCCTGCCCGCCCCCAGAGTTGGGAGGAAGTGGCCCATGCTGTGGGTTTTGGGGACAGGAAGCAGCACAGAGGGACTGGGCCGCCATTGGGGGAGGTGAGAGGGGAAACGCGGCATCCCCCACCCCCTGCCGGCTGCCCACCCCTTCGGCAGTGAGCCTGGAGCCCCTGTCCCGATGCCCTGGGGAGCCCAGGCTGAGGTTCACGGGAGGAGAGAACTCAGATCATGGCTTCCAGGCAGGGGAGAAGTAAGAATGGGGTGAGGGAGGGGCCTAGTCACTTCCCCTACCCACCTACCCTGGCCCTGAGGGCGGCTGGCGCTGGCACCCTGGCACTCTCCCTTCGTCTCTTGGCCACCTTCGAGTTTCTTGGGGGGCTGTCGGGGCTGGCCCCACCCCCAGTCCTCTCCCCTCAGGGATGGTGCTGACGGTGGACGTGGTCGGGCCGGCGCCCTGGGGCTTCCGCATCACCGGAGGCAGGGATTTCCACACGCCCATCATGGTGACCAAGGTAAGGGTGAGCTGGGAGGCAGAGGGGCCCTCTGCACACCTGGTCCCACAGACATCTTCCTTCTCTCGGCCAGAGCCAGAGGCCTGCGGGCTGTTGGCAGGGCCCTGCTCAGGGGGCTTGGGCAGGAGCAGACTTCGGGGTGACAGGGCTTGCTGACCCACACCCGTGGGCAGCCCCTACAGGGCGCCATGTGGGTAGCAGGGCTCCCACCCGGGAGCACTTCAGGCCGGGTTACTGGAATGCCACCCTGCGTTCTTAGGGAGGCCTCGCGAGAAGGCCGGGGGATCAGCTGAGAGCGGGCAGCAGCGACAGCCTGGACTGGGGGTCGAGGTGGAGCAGACCGGCAGAGCTCAGACCTGCTTCTGCCTTTCTTTTCCTATTTTCTAATTAAAAATACATTAAGTTTATCTCTTCTGTAAGAGAGAAAGAAATTCAGAGACACTCCCAACAGTGTCTCCATGCCACGATCCCCCTCCTGTCACAGCTGGCTCTGCCTGTGCGCACACCCGAGCCAGTGTGCTCAGAGAGGGCCCCAGCTCACGCTCGGTCTGCACCATGCCAGCTGCACCACCGCCTGGCCCATGTGCGGTCCCGGGCACCACTGTCTGAGCTCAGCTTATGCTCGTCCGTCTGCCTCCCCTCCAGGTAACTGAGCGAAGCAAGGCCCACGCTGCTGACCTCCGGCCTGGGGACATTATCGTGGCCATCAACGGCGAGAATGCAGAGGGCATGCTTCAGGCCGAGGCTCAGAGCAAGATCCGCCAGAGCCCCTCGCCCCTGCGGCTGCAGCTGGATCGGTAGGCCCTCCCCCTACCAGGCAGCCTCACCCCTGCCCCCAGCCTCCAACCAGTCCAGTGTGGCCAGCCAGGGCTTGGGCCACATCAGCAAGAGGCTCCGCCCCCAGGTCCTGCCGCCAGCCAAGGG